TTTTTAAAATATTCCGAATCCGAAGAAAATGCCTCTCCTTGTTATTTTGGTTTGCCGGCTCTTGATCGTTTCCATCATAAATCAGCGGCAACATCGTCAGCGTCATCATCATTATTGCAACCACCGATAGACTACTGCCATCAACCGCATGCCTCCCATAGCTAAACAAAACACAATGTAACTGGTACTGTATTTTGACTTTTTGGCGGTACACCGGTGAAGCATAACAACACGCCGGTCCTCATCAAACAGTCTGACAATGTCGCTGTTGCCCCTTGAGTGAGCCGCAGACTTCTCCATCAGAAGTTGCACTTCGATTCAGCAGCTACTTTCCAATTCGAACGTGTGACTTGAGGCATCATCTTTTGAAATCACCGTCCACCAAGTAATTATTCTGGAAGTGAATCAAGGAACCGTCCGAACAAGTCTATGGCGTGAGTCAAATCTGCCTTGGGAACACGGAGCAAGCCAATCGTCACCAGGCTGGGTGCTGCTATACGGCAACAGACTGTGAAGCTTCTTCGTGAGCAGCCGCTCGTATAAACGTTCCGTCTTACGACTGCTTCGACATCACGAGAACCGATGTTGACGCACCACCACCACCCCGCAAGATTTTCTGACCGGGGTTGCTAATCGCGGGAAAATAAATAATTATTACAAGAAATTTGATTTATTTTTATGCCGTGCACCACCGGTGTACCGCCAATACGTTCATTTGTCAAAACATCCCAATGCTGAAAAATGAATTGCAAATGACTCAATTGGGAGTTTTCACAGTAACATCGCGACCCCGACTGCGAAAAACTTGGCATAGTCTAATAGACTCAGCGAGGCTCTCCTGGGTAAACTAGTGGATGGGGTGGTGGCTCAGTGATCCGAACGTGGTGACCGAGTTCGATTTCCGCTCACGGCTAACACCAGTGAAGATTATCTGAACCGGTCCTAGGCCTCCCCTAGGTCGACTCAGCCTGACAATCTACTGGGGAGACAAAGGCGGCCGGCCGTGGTTCTGGCCACCTACCCCCTCGTGCGCCGCGCCTGCCTTCATCGGCACTACTCGCCAGCGGCGTTAGCCCCAACAGCCTGTTAAGGCTACAAGGTGGGAGTTGATCTTCGTCTTTGCCTGTGAATCCAGTCGGGCAGGGCCAGACCCCGTGGAGCTGCAGAGGCAGCAGGAGTCGCGGCGGCGCGCCCTCGCGCGCAAGAGAGCCAAGGCCGCGCTGCGCCCCTTCTCCCCGAGCCCGTGGAGGGCCGCAAGCACGTTGACGTACAGACCGGTGAGCACGGTGGGGGTGGGGGGCGCGGTTGTCTCTCTCTCTCTCTCTCTCTCGCAGCCTCTTGCCCCTTCTCCGCTGACACAGCACGAGCAGGGCCAGCGCGGGGGGCACCTCGTGGCACGGGTGTGTTTTTCCGCTGCCCATATACCTACCGAGCCGAGCCGGAACCAAACTGCGACGCTCCGCTGCGCCTCCCTGTGCTCTGACAATCTGATTGTGGCTCGGGGGCCAAGCAGGGCCACGGGCAGTGGGGGGGGGGCTCACGATGCGGTCATCACATGCGGCCTCATTCTCCGCACCGTGGACGCAGCGGATAAACAACCTGGTGCCTGAGCCATGCCGACTATAGCGAGGCATTTGACTCGGTGGAAATTGACGTGTGTACGCACCGTGTATGTGTGTTGCGTTCGCACGCAGAGTTGTACCTGGAGGAGCTGAGTGGCCGTGTGCAGGAGCGCGACTGGGGCTGTCAGACGGACGCCTTCCTCGACCGCCCCGCTAGCCCTCTCTTCATCCCCGCCAAGAGCGGGCGCGATGCCACCACGCAGATCCTGCCGGGCGAGGCACGCCAACTTACGCCCACTCACACGCCCACTCACACGCACACACAGCCTTTGACAGACTGGTGGGGCAAGTGCTGTTAGCGAGCAACCTATGAAGGCTTGCACGGCACACGAGGGGGCGGGTGGTCTGCATCATGCCCGGCCGCCTTTGTCTCTCCTCCCCAGTGGCGATGTTTACACACCATACCAGGTACTCATTTGAGGCTGAGTCGACCTAGGGAAGGCCCAGGACCGAGCGGTTCAGATAATCGTCACTGGTGTTGGCCGTGAGAACGACGTATAGGCTGTCGCCTGATGAGACTGGTTGTAACTACCGGCTAAACATTGTACTCAAATTGTAAATGTTGTGGGTTTACCCTCCAAGACACCGGTGTGCTGAACTAGTGCCTAATTAGCACGTTTTATTACGTGTCAAACCTTACTAATTGGCTGTGTCTGGCAGCGAAGGGTTTAACGACACATTTATATTTACGCGATCTAACTAAAATAAAACCCTTTATGGATATTGGTCGCGACAGCCCTACTACTACGTGTTAGACAGCTTCACAACACAACGCACCAATCACTGCATCACCACTCCACCCAATATGTCTGGCAGCAAGTGTCCTTGTCTGCAGATATCTCGCGGTTCACCACAATTTGCGTTTAAGCAAGCATTGGCTCCTCTGCTGGTGAAACACAGCAAGGCCGTGTTGCTGACGAGATGTGTAAAAAAATACTTTCGCATATGACACCACACTTACACCTCGATATACGTGCATTCGCCACAACAACCAAGCATTCGCCGCTAGGTGGACGTGACGTCGCGACGGGGGTTCGTGCCAGGCTAGGTGCACTTGGAGGCCATCACGCGAAGTGCGGACGGCTCGCCGCTGCTGTCAGGAGGAGGTCACGGGGCAGGCCTGAGGGGTGGGGGGGCTATGCAAGATACCACCGTGGGCCCTCTCTCTTTCTTCCGACTCACTTTTAACTGAAATAGCTGCGGATGTTTTTAACTAGTAGACAATCATTTGTAGGCTACAACTATATATATATTATTCTTGTTATAAAAGTTTATTTAATATTTATTTACATTTAATTACTTGTTTCCCTGTTTGATTTGGGGCCCCCTTGCGGCCGACTGGGCCCCTGTGCGTGTCGCTGCTGCCACAAAGCCTCCCCACTCCGCCATAGTTGCACCCCTGTGTGGAAGGACAGATACGCGAATGAGGTGCACCGCTTAATAATTTAGCATCCTGTGTGTACGGTTATACAGGGTGCTTCAAAAAAATGTTAACACTTATATGGGACTATCGTTTTGTTGGAAAAATAGAACGGATAATAGACTGTAATGTGATAACAAATGTATGTTAATAGCTTCAGAAAGGCAAAGCGTCTCCACTCGTTCGCCATCGTTGTCAACGCACACCTGGAATCTTCTCCAGGTGGTCTCCAGAGCCCGGAGGCACATTTCTTGTGGTATTGTTTGCAAATTCTCAGAAGTGTTAACATTTGTTTGAAGCACCCTGTATTATATTTGTTTATACATGTTTATATATATATGTTTGTACGTATGGCTGATTTCCGCGCACCTTAGCTGTTTGACTTTGAGGTGGAGGTACGGCCCCTGGTGGAGGTGCTCGGGGCAAGACGGTGGAGCAGTCGCTGCTGGAGGTGATGGAGGAGGAGGAGCTGGCGTCGCTGCGTGCCCAGCAGCGCGCCTTCCTGGAGCTGCGCAACGCCGAGCGCGCCGAGGCCCAGCGGCTCCACGAGCAGGACCGGAGGCTGCGCGCCGAGAAGGTGACGCGGCCTCGCGCCCCTTGCGCCCGGCCAGAGTGATCAACTGCAGCCTGGCACCCATACGGGAAAACTCTAACCCACAGCTCTGTCACCCAAACCCCCCCCCCGGCTGCCCCTTGCAGGATCGCCGGCGGCGGCAGCAGCAGGAGGTGGTGGCGCAGGAGAAGGAGGTGGCGGACAAGGTGGCGGCGCGGGCGTTCGCCAAGCGCTACCTGGGCGACCTCATCCCGGCCGTGTTCAGCACGCTGCGCGACACGGGATACTTCTACGACCCCGTCGAGAGGGGTGCGCGGATGACCGCGGCGGAGCGCGACGCCGCGCGTCCGACCGTCGTGGCGGCACCGCCCGATCAATTAGCCGCCCCCCCCTCCCCTCCCCCTGTGCGCCGTGAGGAGAGGTGGCGCCGCCACTTTAGCAGCGGGTTTGGCAGTCGCAATTCATTCTGTTGCGGTGCCTCCGTCCACACGTCTCCCTCGTGTGCGTTCCCTTGTGCCTCCCCATACATCCATCCGTCTGTCGTTGTACCGCCCTGTGGCGTGGCGACCCGGGTTCGATTCCCGCTCACGGTCGACACCGGTGACGATTATCTGAAACCGGTCCTGGACCTCCCATAGGTCGACTAGGCCTCAAATGAGTACCTGGTGCGGTGTGTAGGCATCGCCACTCGGGAGATAAAGGCGGCCGGGCGTGGTGCTGGCCACCCACCCCTCGAGTGCCCTCATAGATGCTACTCGCGAACAGGGCTTGCCCTAACGGACTGCTACAGGTTATACGGGGCTCTTTGTACTGCCCTGTGTGATGACCCACGTTTCCCCGTGTGTCCCTAGATGTGGAGAATGCGTTCATGCCCTGGCTGATGAACGCCGTGGAGGCAGAGCTCCATAAGGCACTGGAGGCCCGAGCTCTCCTGGACTGTGAGCAGCCAAACAACCTACAATACATCAATACAAATCTACAAACAAAGTGCACACAACAACACAATAATCGCCATTTGCCACTAAGCGGCAGTGACTTGAAGTGTCAAGCGCCGCTGGCAGGAGGTCACAGGACCGACCCAGGTGCCATGGGTTGACTGACTTGAGATGACTGGCCGATACACCACGTGAACCCACATACACGCAGGCGTACACATGTATATATACATACACATTCGTACTTATACACACGGTATATCCACAAGTTACGTGCATTAAACATATACACCTGTACACCCTACATACACGTACATTCTCTCAGTTTGCGGCGTTTGTCAGGACCAAGTTGGTACTTATTTAGTCTGTGGATCTCAGTGCTTAGAGGGTAGGGGATGTTGAAGCCCGTGATGGCAGCACGCCCTCTTGAGCTCAGAGTCTGGAGAGACTTCCACACATTTTCGGAAGCGCTCACAAGCCTGGGTTGTTCTCGTTCTTCGCAGCGATCATCCGCGACGTGGCAGCTCGTAGAGAGAGGAGCTACGGAGGAGGAGAGCCTTCTGAGAGCTAAGGACACCTGGGATGTCATCTGAAGTGACGCCAACCCAAAACATCTTCCCCACTCTCGGTGGTTTCAGAGGAATCGTAATGGCCGCGTCAAAGCCACCGAGTTCCTGGCTTCGAATCCAGAGCTTCCCATTCGTGTGGTATTGCAAAAAGAAGGCGATGTCTTACAGAGTTTGATGCTGTTGTGCTATATTGCCAATGAGTGAGCACAACAATAAATGTAATTGTCAAACTGGATTTTTGCTTCATTCCTGAATGAATCAAATACATTTCTTTTGGTAAATATACCTGCAATGGATATCATTGCGTTGATGTGAATAATTTGAATGTTGGAGGGTTGTTGAAAAGTCTGTGTCTGAACAAAGCAACGATGGGCTGGTTAGCGTGGCAACCAAGAAACAGAACGCGTCTGAGAGGGCCCGTACACTGAAGGAGATGCAGCGATGACATCAGTTCGTGCGAAAGTGCTAGACTGATTATTGAAATGCAAGTTTCGTGAGAGGTGGTGGTGGTGGCATGGAGAGGCCTTCGTCCACAGCTGATGATGACATGGTTAGACTACGTTATATTCGTACACGTTCCGTTGAAGTGAAATACTCCTGGTCCATCATCATCATCATCGATGTCGCAAGGCTTTAGTCCCCACCCTAAAGAACACCACCAACTCCTGGCCATATCGCAGCCCCACGCCTCCAACACCTGGCAAGCCCTGGTGGTCACCCGTCCAAGCACCAACCAGGCTCAAAAAGCCTGCTTAGCCTGACGTGCGATGAGGTTGGGCACAGTCCATTCTTCACTCAAGATGAACAGCAAGTGCTGGGTGTTTGCTCGGTGTAGAAGATTACATCGAGGCCTTCAGCGTGAATGTGTGTGTGCCTTGACGGGCTCGGAGTAACGCACATGGCTGCACAGTTCATCTGTTTGAATTTTTTTATTTCACATTACAGAACCTCCAAATTTCCAGAGCCGCCAATGCGGTGTGAATAACGTCACGGAGAAGAGGTCCTTAAAGAGGCACCGCATGCGGCACGGGAGCCACAGGTTGCAGACCCCCTGGTGATGATGATCAGCACGGCACTGTTGTCGGCACTTCCGCTCTCGGTGATTGGCAATGATGGCGATGTTGAATGGGAGTGCGGGTATCGTCGATGGCCTCACCGTGGGCTGCAAGTGCTGCGCGTACGTGTTCCCACGCACAACGCGCCGGTCGTACATGATGTTGCCAAAGCGATCCAAGCCATCGTCCCTGCAACGTCACCACCACCACCACCATCGTCGTCATCATCATCCTCTCCCCAACATGGGGCAAAACAAAACAATATCTTACATCGCATTGTTTTCTCAAAAGCCAAAAGTGTCTCCCAGTTCAAAGGAACGACGTATCATGTCCGGCACTGCCAATTGTTAACGTAGCGTCCGACGTTGACAGCGGCCGACGTTCACCGCCAAGTAGCTGTCACCACGGCGCTTGTGCCAGGCTAGGTGTACATCTAGACCGTCGCCAGAGGCGTGGATCACGGAAGGCTCCCGCTGCTGCTGGAAGAATGTCACCGGACAGACCCAGGTGTTGTGGGTTGACCCATGTGCCAGGCTAGGTGCACGGTTGCCTTCGCCCCGGTGCGAAATTTAGTTCGACATACACACACGCAAGAGGTCACGGGAGGGAGCGGTGCGTTATGGGTCACTTGATACAGATGCGCCGCCTGTGCTGTCCACTCTGCCACCTCGCTGAGAATTTCCTGTCCGGCGATGTTGGGACGGCGACCGCCTCCAACTTGCCCAGCAGCTCTCGAATAATCCACCAAGACGGTGGCACTTGACCAGCAGCGTTCATTCACGAGCCTCCTCGTCCAGGGAGGCCAAACTTAACATCGCTGGTGCCGGTCACGGGTGACGGAATACAGAGATGGGGACTCACGGCTGGCATCAGTCAAGGATTTAGTCAAGCAGTGATGAGAGAGACTCACGGCTGGCATCAGTCAAGGAGTGGATATAGGCTCACGTCTGCCTGTAGTGAAGCAATGAAGTAGTGATGATAGAGACTCACGGCTGCCTGTAGTGAAGTAGTGATGAGACTCACGTCTGCCTGTAGTGAAGTAGTGAAGCAGTGATGATAGAGACTCACGTCTGCCTGTAGTGAAGCAGTGAAGTAGTGATGATAGAGACTCACGTCTGCCTGTAGTGAAGTAGTGAAGCAGTGATGATAGAGACTCACGTCTGCCTGTAGTGAAGCAGTGAAGTAGTGATGATAGAGACTCACGTCTGCCTGTAGTGAAGTAGTGAAGCAGTGATGATAGAGACTCACGTCTGCCTGTAGTGAAGCAGTGAAGTAGTGATGATAGAGACTCACGTCTGCCTGTAGTGAAGTAGTGAAGCAGTGATGATAGAGACTCACGTCTGCCTGTAGTGAAGTAGTGAAGCAGTGATGATAGAGACTCACGTCTGCCTGTAGTGAAGCAGTGAAGTAGTGATGATAGAGACTCACGTCTGCCTGTAGTGAAGTAGTGAAGCAGTGATGATAGAGACTCACGTCTGCCTGTAGTGAAGCAGTGAAGAGTGAAGTAGTGATGATAGAGACTCACGTCTGCCTGTAGTGAAGTAGTGAAGCAGTGATGATAGAGACTCACGTCTGCCTGTAGTGAAGTAGTGATGAGACTCACGTCTGTCTGTAGGGGGCCCGTAGCGGCACGGGTCGCGGGCGGCTCGTGAAGGTGTAGTAGGCCTCGCTCTGGGGCTGCTGCGCTAGGAACGCCGCCATCTCCCTGCTGGGCGAGCGACTCGGAGCTCCACCAGAGACGCCTCCCTCGGGGGGCGAACCGCGACGTGGACGTGAAGCGGAGCGACAGAGGAGATGAGAGAGGTGAGGGAGATGAGAGAGGTGAGGGAGATGAGAGAGGTGAAGGAGAGGAGAGAGGATGAAGTGAGATGAGAGGTGAGATGAGAGATGAGTGAGAGACGGAGATGAGAGGGAGATGAGATGAGGGAGATATGAGAGCGATGACAAGAGAGATGAGAGAGGGGATGAGAGAGATGAGAGAGATGAGAGGGAGATGAGAGGTGAGTGAGAGATGTAGGAGAGAGCTTCTGGGGGTTGGATTCTTCAAAAAAGTTAAATTCTCAGTTGGGCCGCGGCCTTCCCGTCTCCATGGAGACCGACTGACGCACCGCTCCGCCGCAGGTAAATATAGCGCGCGCGCAAACCGCGGGTTTATATTAAAGTTTACTAACTTACACTACTAAATGCTGCCGCATGCATCTCTTCGTTCGTTTTGTTGTTGATTTTAAATGAATTATTTTTTAGTTTTCTCTCGGTTGTCCGCAACGGAGCCGCCTTCCCGCATATCGCTGCGCGCCGTCCCCGCAGTCTCAATCGGCCGGCGCTACTTCTGTGTACACAAGCCCCGTTGTTGCCAGGGGCGACGCGGGGACGTCAACAACAAAAACCGAAGCGGCGCGTTCGGTGGTTGCCGCGCGCTGATTCGCGCCCCCGCAGCAGCCCAATAACATTGGGGCGGCAGCCGCCGGTCTTCCGAATGCACATTCGGCAATTGTTGATCAATTTAAATGCGTTGTTAAAACAATGAGGATTGTGACTTTGTTTTTTACCCTTTCTGGCAATAAAACAGGAGGTGTGTTTATATGTTGAAACACCAAATTGATGATACATTTTGCAGGTCTGCTTTAACCACACGTTACCTGTGGGAAAACATGCACACAAACATGCTCTGATAAGAATGGCGGGATGCATTGTTTATTAAACTGATCGTCCTCCACGAGAGACGGCAGACTTCTTGATGGCCAAGTCTCAGTCTCTGTGCCAGACCAGAGAACAGCAAACGGCGAACAGCACAAAGACAATGCAATTATTGAGCAGTAATATCTATGGGACCTTTTTTCCAGTCTCAAAATGATGAAACTTTAGAAGCTAATCCCCTCTTCCTGATGACGAACGCTTGTGTTGCGATCGAAACGTCGTAGTTTTTTTGAAAGTTTTTGTAATTTTCTTTGAACCTATCTACGTGACTTTACTGAAAGACCCAAAGAATATGATGAAACAGTGATAGGTTTTACCTATAAATGCTCTGCCACGCTGCAGTGTCTTTGTCCCGTTCGCCTTGTGCTGTCCTCTGGTCTAACACTGGCGGTGAGACTGGGCCTTAAAGAAAGCTGTCCCTGGTGTAGACCAATCAGTTCCAAAGACAATGCGTATAACATGATCAGAGCATGTTTATTTGCATGTGTTGCCACAAATAACGTGCGTGGTCGATGCAGACTTGATGCCTTGCAAGAGGTATCATCTCTTTGGTGCTTGAACATCTAAACACCACTCCTTTCTTACTGCCAGAAAGGGTCAACACCGATTCATGTTTCATCATTTTTGATACTGGCAAAACAAGGACCCATCGATATTGCGTCGTTGTTGTTGTTAAGTAAATCTTGATTTGTTGTTAAGTAACGTTTGTTATTTGACAGTGAAGTTGATCGTTTTATTGTTCAGTTAATTCGGCCCACGAAGACTCGTGTCCCCTTCCGTCGTATCCCGTCTGTGGATATCAAAACAAACCTTGGGCGCTGCGTCTTATCATTCGGTAACTCGTTATTTTTTGCACGTGCTATGAAGAAAAGGGCCATTGACCGAAACGTTGCCTGTTATATATTTCCTTTTAAGGCTGATGTGTTGGTGTTTAAAAATATATATACAGGGACTTCCCTACTTACGGACGAGTTAGGTTCCAGAGGTCTGTTCGTAAGAGTTGTATAATCTCCTGTAGATGCCACTGGTTCTTCATGTTCTGCAGATGTAGATGCCACTGGTTCTTCACGTTCTGTCGATGTAGATGCCACTGGGTCTTCATGTTCTGCAGACTTAGATGCCACTGGTTCTTCATGTTCTGCAGATGTAGATGCCACTGGTTCTTCATGTTCTGCAGATGTAGATGCCACTGGTTCTTCATGTTCTGCAGATGTAGATGCCACTGGTTCTTCACGTTCTGCAGATGTAGA